GCCTTTAAGTGTGGAGTTTGCATGTTCTTCCTTTGTCTGCGTTGGATTCCTCTGGGTGCTCCGGTTTCCCCCAAAAACAAGCATTATAGGTGAAATGGAGACACTAAATTGTCCATAGGTGTGAGTGTGTGCGTGTTTGTTTGTGAGTCCCAAGCCATGTAATGTGGAGGGTTGGGGAAAGACCTGGCGAACTACCCCAGAAAAATCATTGGCAAAAAAAAAATCATGGACAGTCTCTCGCATATTGCAAAAGATGGCCCATAAAATCATCAATATGACTGGAATGGTTAATGAATGAGTAACTCATATAAATGGACACCACAAAATGAAAGGGGAGAAAAATGTTCCAAGAATTGAGTAAAGCCGAAATGCTATTGTCATTTTCCTGCTCACCGAGTTTGTCATCTTAGTGAGATATTTCACATAGATGTGCTAGTCTTCCAACAGGAAGAAAATGATTAACTCTCTTTCCCAGTTAAGAGGAGCCCGTTGACTGAATGAGCGACAAACATGCTGGTTATGAGATTCTTAAGCTTGGAAAAATGGATTTAGCAAGAATTACATTTACAAATGCAAAACAATACAATACAATATACTATATACAGCGGGGGAAATAAGTATTGAACACGTCACCATTTTTCTCAGTAAATATATTTCCAAAGGTGCTACTGACATGAAATTTTCACCAGATGTTGATAACAACCCAATGAATCAGTACATACAAAGAAACCAAAACAAATAAGCTCAGAAATTAAGTTATGTGTAATAATATGAAATGACACAGGGAAAAAGTATTGAACACATGAAGAAAGGGAGGTGCAAAAAGGCATGGAAAGCCAAGACAACAGCTTAAAACTATTAGTAATTAAAAAGCAATCCAACCCCCTGTCCGTGCACATTAATAACAGCTGGTTCAGTCCCAACGGATGGCCTACAAAAAGGTCTCATTGCCAAGGTGTCACACAAGACACATCTCATGATGGGTAAAAGCAAAGAGCTGTCTCAAGACCTTCGCAACCTAATTGTTCCAAAACATAATGATGGCATTGGTTATAGGCACCATTCTAAGCTTCTGAATGTTCCAGTGAGCGCTGTTGGGGCCATAATACGGAAGTGGAAAGACAATCATTTCACCATAAATTTGCCTCAACCACTGCTCCTCGCAAGATTTCAGATAGAGGAGTGAAAAGAATAATCAGAAGAGTTGTCCAAGAGCTAACACCAAGGTGTATGGCGTTTTTAGGGTAATGTGCAGTGCCATTTCTCCTCCAAACATGGTGTGTATTATGGCATCCAAACAATTCAATTTTGCTCTCATGTGACCACACTAAATTCTCCCAGTATTTCCCTGGCTTTTCCAAATGTTGTGCAGCAAACTTTAAACGAGCTTCAACATGCTTTTTTTCTTCAGTAATGGAGTCTTGCGTGGTGAGCGTGCATACGGGCCATGGTGGTGGAGTGCATTACTTACTGTTTTCTTTGAGAACACAGTACCTGCTATCTGCAGGTCTTTTTGAAGCTCTCCACAAGTGATCCTTAGCTCTTGGACAACTCTTCTGATTATTCTTTTAACTCCTCTATCTGAAATCTTGCGAGGAGCAGTGGTTGAGGCAAATTTATGGTGAAATGATTGTCTTTCCACTTCCGTATTATGGCCCCAACAGCGCTCACTGGAACATTCAGAAGCTTAGAATGGTGCCTATAACCAATGCCATCATTATGTGTTGGAACAATTAGGTTGCGAAGGTCTTGAGACAGCTCTTTGCTTTTACCCATCATGAGATGTGTCTTGTGTGACACCTTGGCAATGAGACCTTTTTGTAGGCCATCCGTTGGGACTGAACCAGCTGTTATTAATGTGCACGGACAGGGGGTTGGATTGCTTTTTAATTACTAATAGTTTTAAGCTGTTGTCTTGGCTTTCCATGCCTTTTTGCACCTCCCTTTCTTCATGTGTTCAATACTTTTTCCCTGTGTCATTTCACATTATTACACATAACTTAATTTCTGAGCTTATTTGTTTTGGTTTCTTTGTATGTACTGATTCATTGTGTTGTTATCAACATCTGGTGAAAATTTCATGTCAGTAGCACCTTTGGAAATATATTTACTGAGAAAAATAGTGACGTGTTCAATACTTATTTCCCCCGCTGTACATGCAAATATACTAATTCAATAAAGAATCAATAATCACAGGATTTTTCCTTTTATTTTATGATATCTGCGTTTTCACTATGTTAACTTTCTCTACCACGGAAACTGTATATATATTTTGTGATGATTATTTCAAGTTACATCCGTTTCCGTTTCTTCAATTTATATTAAAGGGGCTATTTGTAGAATTCAGAAACCCTTGTTATTAGCGACACCGGTGGCCATTAAGTGAACTGCAGCCAGCAACTTATTTCTCAAGCTCTTTTTATTTTTCGTTCTTCGCTTCAAAAGAGGTTGCAAATACCTTTGCAGCAATATAAATTTTAACGAACGTCTCGACATCATCCACAATGCTGAGAGAACTCTGTTCAGAGCGATATCTAAATATGTGCTGCATGCTTTCCTCTCAATAACAAAATAAACACCCAGCAAAAATGACAGGGGTGAGAAAACAGCAGTTAAGAAAGCATCTTAAGCATAGTTCACCCAAAAATTTTATTCTGTCATCATTTACTCACTCTATGTTCCAATTTTGGGTGAACTATTTTAAGCTGAAAAACTATTAAGTGACAAACCAAGTTAGTTAAACAGCCACTGGGAGCCAGTTGTTGGACCAAAGATGGAAGGTACTGTGAGAATATTGGGTCACAGACAGAATTGAATGCTGCATTCCAGACAGCTCAGAATATGGATTTGTCCCAAATCCTACTTGGAAATAACGTATGGAACGCCACTCAAAGTGAGACATTCGACCTGCTCGTTCAACCCCAACCTCAGCGAGACGCGCAATTTGACGTCACTTCCAAGATTCTAATGCGCATAGTGTAGAGCTACCGTAAGTCAAACGTAGAAACAAACTTTAACATTAGACATTACGTTTATATATAATACCTTCATTTGAGCTTTTCGTCAGCTGTTTTCAAAGTGAATGGCAGTATTTTAGGCTATTTCTATTCTGTTTTTGCCATAATTGACAAAAAAAATTCTTGATGCGTCATGGCAACATGACAACATGTGAACGTGAGTGTGATTGACTGGAACTGAACTGAGGTCTGAAGTGGGACATTCCCACGTCCAACCTAGTCTACCCGGGCAATATCTGGTATACACATTGCACATGTGTAGGGGGGAAAAAAAACACACGTTTTGCTGCCACACAGCAGAAATACACAAATGACAACACACTAATAGAAGACAGAATGCATTCTAATAGAATATTTAGAGATTTCTGTTCCTATACAATCTTCACAAAAATTCTTTAAAATCTCCTCATTAAAGGGACAGTTCACCCAAAAATGAACATTTTGTCATCCTCATGTTGTTCCAAACCTGTATGAGTTTCTTCTGTTGAAAACAAAAAAAGATATTCGGAAGAATGATTGACAAGTTGACAACACCCATTGACTATAGTATTTTTTTTCCTACTATGGAAGTCAATGGATACCGTCAACTGTCTGGCTACCAACATTCTTTAAAATATCTTCTTTGGTGTTCAATAGAAGATAGATTGAGATTCTTTTATTTAATGCCATGTCAGCATTCAAAGCTATTTTCATGGAAAAAATTAAATTACAAAAATACAAATATCATAAATACAATAAAAACAAATACAAAAACAGCAAGTCATATTACACAAGACTTTTTAAATTAACATTATGATAAAAAAAAATCCCAAACAGTTTCAGGCATAATCTTATTAAATATGTCTTTAAGTGAAGTAACTTCATAAAAGAGCATTCTGCTTGTATTAAGTCCAGGACAATCCAACAAAATATATAGAAGATAGAAACTCATACAAGTTTGAAACAACTTGAGGGTGAGTAAGTAATGACACAATTTTCATTTTTGGGTGAACTATCCCTTTAACAGTTAATAATTGATTAAAACAGGGATGTCAAGGCTTTTATTCAAGCTTATTTGAAAACTACAGGTATGCGTGTAGAAGCAGGATTGGAACTAAACTCTGCAGGGCTGTGACCCTCCAGGAACGGAGTTTGACATCCCTAGATTAAAACATTGAGAGGAAAAGAACTTAACTTAGCAACTACATAAAATAAACTGTAAATGTGGAGAAACAGAAACGTAGTTTAAGTGTCACTGGTTGCCTTCTTCTACTGAAACTCCTTGTAACCACTGAAATGGCACCATCTATTGGGTGTTTTCCAAATGAACACAGTACTAATTACGTTTCAAAAAGCTTTATGTTCAGTATGCCTGGTCTCCTTTAAAAAATCCCAGTATTGGTAATTCAATTCAATAGTTCACTGTCTGATGGTTGGGATCATTTAACATGTTGAGAGAAAACAATACTGAAATAGCATGAGGTTTTTGACAACATCATATACTCAATGCCTCTTTAAATCAGTCACAGACTGTTACAATTAAGTTGTTGATTTGAGTTGTAACATGAAACCTGATTCTTATCACAATGCAGCATAATTATCTTGCTAATACACTGGTCATTTTGAGGTAGAATACGGTTTACTCACAAATCACAGAATTCATATCTTCTCATTGCAATAAAAGGTGACATTTTGAAAATTAAAGAATGTGTTCACTCAAAGTTGAAAACTGTTACTATTTACTCACCCCTGTGGTATTATTTTGAGAAAGAGAAGATTTTTATGTTTTAGAATCTTCCCACAAAAAAAAAGTATAGGGTTGTGTCCCTTTACCTTTGCAGAAGACTAATGGTTTCGTAATCTCCAAGACATTTGATCTATTCCAACCATAATTCTACAGCCAATACAGAAAGTTTTACAAACAATCTTTACATATGATTTTATTTTTCTTATTCAATGAAAATTATAAGAATATTGATTCACTCTAACTTCACAAACTGTAAATTAGTCCGCATGTAAATTAATCACTCGATTTTGATATATGGTTTGATATATCATTCCATCCGGCCCAGTTTCAATAGGTGATCGTATAAACGGGTTCACCAACATGAAGGATACCCGTTTTCTTGACGGTGTAGTACTGTCCCAATATTGGCGAAGTTTTCTGGTTAGGGTCAGTCAGTCGATAGCTATGAAGCAAAAAAATCAAGTAGGTGATGAAAACCGTGGATATATTAAGAGATGCCAACAACATGATATAATAAAATTACCCTATGCGCAGAATCAGGGCTTCCTTTATGATTTCGTTTTTTGAAGGGGGAAGGGGGTGTTGGGTTGGTGTTTGCACCACAAATATATTTATTCATATACAATTTATATATACACGGGGTTGATAATATTTGTTTTTTATTTGAAAGTCTCCTTTGCTCACCAAGGCTGTATTTATTTGATCAAAATAACAAAACAGTAATATTGAGAAACATTTAAAGAATTTAAAATAATTGTTTTCTATTTTAATATATTGTAAAATGTAATTGATTCCTGTGATCAAAGCTCAATTTTTCAGCATCATTACTCCAGTCTTCAATGTCACACGATCCCTTCTTATCATTATTGCTTAATATTTTTGTGGAAACTGTGATACATTTAAGTATTCTTTGATTAATAGTTTAATTTATTTGAAATAGAAATATTTTGCAACATTATATCTTTACTGTCACTTTTGATCAGTTTTATGCATCTTTGCTGAATAAAAGTATTAATTTAGTTTTTAATCAAATAACAAAATTGTATGGGTTTTTTTGTTGAATCATTTATTTAATAAAGACATTTATTATGTTGAAAAATAATTATATTTAATAGTTCTATTTCAAATAAAAGTTGTTCTTTGAAACTTTCTATTCATCAAAGAATCCTAAAAAACAAATTATCACAGTTTCCACAATAATATGAATAAAATCAGCATATAAAACAAACTGAATACTTTTTTACACATTAAGCCTCGTGCACACCGGGACGATTATCGCCAGCGTTTTGAGTTCATACCCAAGCGATTTTCAGTGGCGATGCACCGAGTGAACGTGCAAATTCACTGTAGACAGTAGATAGTGCTTATTGAAAAACAGAAATAACCAACGTGGCGTTGCGCAACTTTACACTTCTGACACTCGCTTGTCACACAGAAGAAGAAGAGAGCCAGTATTTACGTACTTGCCAAAACCATTCACACACTTTTTGCTAACTGGCAAACAGATTATTACGGTGGCCGAGACAGCTCAAGGCGCTGCAACTGAAGCAAACACATGCAAATAGAGAAAAACGCGTGCAAATAGAAAAAAACGCATGCAAATAGAAAAAAACACGCATGCAAATAGAAAAAAACACCAGCAAATTAAAAAAAACATCAGTTTCACAACACACATCAGTTTCACAACACACGTGTGCTCCAAATAAGGAAACGCGCTGCAAAAGTTCACAACACAACCAAATAACTGTTACAGAAAACACGCTGCAAATAACACAGACCACAACGGAAATGTTTCCAGGGGAACCAAATAAGTGACGAACCCGGCTGAGACGTGCTTATTGCCAAGGGGGTAATCCATCGACCGGAAGTTGAAGCCGGCCGGGTACCGCCATCTTGTAGCAGAACTTCACTTGCGTTAGCATTTCCATTGACTACCATTCATTTTGGCGTCACTTTGACAGCGAATAACTTTACATCTGAGGCGTTTAAAGACTCCATTTGTCCATTATTTATTGTCCTCTCTGTCGCGCTGTACAGAAATGACCGCACAGACAGGAGGAGAAGCTCGCAGGCAATCGGGGGGGCGTCCCGTCAAGGGAGAAGCCCATAGATAATGAGTCCATAAAAGCAACGGAAAACTTACTCCTGCTCACTCACGCCAAAGAACTCTTTGCTCAAGTTCCCCGTCTCTGCAAGATTAACGTTGGCAGTTTTCACGCACAGCTACTAGAAGATTAACGTCTGTCAGACAGGTTGCTCACGTCATCAAAGCTTAGTTTGAGTCGGTTTGAGTCTGAGCGTCAGGAACGGAAGTGCTCAAAAATCGCTAAAAGTGGGCTTCAACTGTCTCAACTGAGTTCCAATGAGATGGCTCTGTCCATTTCTTATACTGTCTATGCTTATTGCTCGTGAGCTTCCCTATGCCATACTCCCTTCGAAGGGCAGAATGCAGAGCCCTTTTGGAGTGAGCAAGGCTCTAGTGTGCTGTTAGGCAGCCGTGTGGAGCGCACTTGATGAAGGGAGCAACTAAAGACAACGTGGGATGTTCCCATGACAACGCAGCACGGTGTCCATCAGCTGGTCTTATGACAGAAATATGATGCTGTTCACATAACGGATGCAAATACATTTTTATTTTTAGTTTACAAAAAAAGCTTTTAAAATATGCGTTATATATCTGTGTCTCAACTTTAAAATTTTGGACCCTACATTACCTAACATTTCTTACGAAACTTTTCTTTATGAAAATGTAATAACATGAAACAATTTGTACAGTGTAACTGATGTAACTTATAGATAAATATCTTTCCTTCATGTTTTTCTTCTTTATCTTTTTTATTTATTTTAGTTTCCAGCTCATTGTTCTTTTCTCATTTGTATTCTGATGACATTGAACATATTGTTAATACATTTTGTACATTGTATACAAGTTGTATGTCATAAAAAATTTAATCTCTGTATGTTTTACACAAACAAATAAATAAATAAATAAATAAATAAAGTATAATTTTAAGCTGTAAGCACCAGCACGCATAGATTTATATATGGATATCTATGCCAGCCGATGCCAGCACGTCCCAGCCAGGTTCGTCACTTAATTGGTTCCCCTGGAAACATTTCCGTTGTGCTCTGTGTTATTTGCAGCGCGTTTATGTATTTGGTGGTGTTGTGAGTATTTGGAGCACACGTGTGTTGTGAAACTGATGAAGATGTTTTCTTAATTTGCAGGTGTTTTTTTTATTTGCATGCGTTTTATTTTATTTGCATGAGTTTTCTTCTATTTGCATGCGTTTTCTTCAGTTGCAGCGCGTTGAGCTCTCTCGGCCACCGTAGATTATGGATATTTCAGACACCAAAGAGACTAGCAGCTCTACATTTATCTTGCCTCGTTGCATCTTCTTCTTCGTCTACTTACTTCCTCTTCTTCTATCAATGTGTGCTCGGCAAGACCGTTTTGTGCTTGAGCGCCACCAAGTGCTGTAACCTCAGCAGCTCCAGGCATGTGAACGAAAGCGCCAATCTCATTGGTCGGCCAGTTTTTAACGAGGGGTGTCAAACCAAAAAACGAACCAGAGGCGTTTTTTTATTTATTACGCTTTTACGCCTGCCGTTTTGCTGTGCATACTCACATTGGCGCCCTTTATTTAGTCACAAGACGTTAAACGTCGACGAGAAGCGTGCGCGATAATCGTCCAGGTGTGCACGAGGTAGGGCTGGGCGGTATGACGGTATATATCGTTACCGCGGTAGAAAATGTCAACCGTAACAGATTTTTTTATTCCGTGTATACCGCAACATGCAAATAAGTGGGCGTGGTTAACTCGCGTCCAACGTGCGTGAGACTGAAACACTGAGAATTGTAAAAAGAAACACGGAGAAAGCAGATCAAGATGATCCACAAAGGAATTACATTTTCTAAAGGGTTGTTGTTGTTGTTAACGTGATATTTTCGGGGGAAAAGGCGCAGCAGTTCACTAGAGCAGTGCAGCACAGGCTACAGATTAGTACACGCTCGCAACGGGGAAAGCTGGACAACAACAGTTCATCAATATCGTAACGAATAGAAATAACCTTAAATAATGTATAGTTATCAGCATCTTTCCGTCTCTTATGTATAGTTTTAAAACACGCAAACAGTTTGCCGCCCGTGGTAATGTGCAACCTGCTTGTTAAAGTGAATGTGTAATCCTGTAGCCTATCTGAGGCAAAATTACTAAATATGCATCGCGAGTTATATATTTCTAACTCTAAATAATTGGCCACTGAACCAGTTGATAAAATCTTTCTTTGTTTCGATACGTGATTACAACTTGACACTCAAATTAACCGATCGCATTTTACTGATGCAGAAGACGCGCGCGTGCACAGTGCACACGCACTGAGAGGGAGCGCGGTGTTCACCGGGCTATGGTCAAATAATGACGCAGTTACAAGGTGTGTATAATTTAAACTAGGCTACTTAGTCAACACTAACAGTAGCTGCTGTTCGGTTTTCAAACTGCTGCTCTCCTGCTAGTCACTTCTGAACTTCTATTGATTAAAGCGCAGGGTGACGGGTTGCCAGATATCACAAAAAGAGCAAAACAAGCCCCTTAAAAACGCAGTGTAGCCTAAGCAGACATGGCAAAAATGTACCGGGGAACACGTTTAAACATAACTAGTATTACAATCCTACAAAATTAAAAGGAAATAACTAATTTATCATGTATAGAATAGTTCAATATAAAATATTCAGATATTATAAACTGATTGATGAAGTAAAGCATAACATGAGATTGAAAAATTATTCAGAAACACTTTATTTAAAGTTTAATTGCACCTATGAGTTGTATTTAATATCAATCAGTTGGGGGCAGTTCATCTAAAAGTTGATGAGTGTGTTTTGTTTATATTTAGCTATCTAAATAGTTTACCAAAGAAATAATTTACCAAATAAGAGAAACAGAAAACAATGTGAAGTACTTTTCATTTCTAAAGTATTTGGGTTTATTTATTATACAAAGCCCTTTTTGTTGATTTTTCGAGAATAGCTACATATATAAATAACTATATCGTGAAATATATCGTTACCGTGAAATAAAATTAGTCATACCGTGAAATAGAATTTTGGTCATACCGCCCACCCCTAGCAGGAGGCTTTACACATTATACCGTGTAATACTGTGATTCTTTTTCCAGATTCTGTAACTGATTAACTAAAAAGAAACAAAGCCAAGTTCTTTGGCAAGAAGCACAAGAAGAAAATGATTGACTAAACACAACAGTCATGAACTTGTGAGCTCTGCCCTTTGATCTGGGTAGATTTTAATTCAATCCAATGTGTGCACTTACTTTTTGAGCGTGTTCAGTGGCTCTTTCCGGGTGATGACTCCAGTCTCAGGGTCAACGGTGGTAAAGAGGCATCTGAATATTAATACACAGAATTAAATATTTTACATTACTAACGATTATACTTGTGAACAGTGTATATTCCACTTTACCTTCCACAGCCAACAACTCTCTTCATCTCCACTTGGCCAATCTGAATATGATCCCATGTGTCCTGGTGTAGGAATAACAGAGTTTTATTTTACATCATAACACACCTTCATATCATATCATTCATATTGTATTATTCAGTTATACCTCTGTGAATGCCTCACAGTCACTGACAACAATACTGGGACGAAATTGAAAGACAGTAACATCACTATCCAAACGGCTATTCAGGTCCCTAACAGAGGCCTCCGACATTAGCATGATGGGAGCAGCATCAGGATAGGCCACCTGAAGAATTGAAAAATCAGATCAGATAATGCCAGTGACAGATATATAACATATATATAACATAACAGACATATAACCCAAAGAAAGTCACAGGAAACATTAGATCTCTTCTTTACAGTCATGACAAGTCATTTCCAAAAATTGTGATTTCACATAGTATTGGTTTTGTGTATTGTAGCCTACTAATATATAAAAAAAAAAGTCATATTGCACTAGATTTTCGTACATGTTGAAAGGAGGTAGGAGCACAGCTGTGAAACCTTATAAAATATATATTTTTAATTACTCACCTCTGTCGTGATTCTTTTCTGTCATGACAGTATTTTTTCTTTTTAAATATACATCTATAGTTCTGCTTTTAGGATGATTGAGTGATATGTAATATAATTTTGCTAAAATAAAAATACTAAAATATAATTATGTATTTCTCATTCTCCAATTAATAAATGTATAAATAATAAATGTCTCCTCTCTAATTAATTTAAAAGTAGGAATGTTGCTATATTAAAAAGTAAATCGCAGGTACAATTTTGAGACATGTTTTATCCCACATCTCAAGAGTCAATATTACAGTTTTATTTTATTTTATTTGTAGTATGAGACATGTAGAGGACTGTCCATCAAACCTTTTCGTCCTTAGGATAGAGGGGATCTTTCTCAGAAGGTCTCTGGGCCTTTAGATGAGGTTCAAAATGCACCAGGCGAACGGTCTTGTCTGATTCCAGGTATCGAGTAAGCCAGTCAGACACATCGTCCCCGCAGTCCCTGCCCTGAACGTCTATACTAAAGACTCTGGACACACAAGCAAAATTATTTTCAAGTTTCAGTATGCCACTTCAACTAGAAGAACTCTCTTACAAAGGAAACTTTGGCCACACATAAAATGAATTAGCTTAGCAGAGGCACACAAAGGGTCATTTCTGACCGGAAAATCTTCTGTTTTGAAATGTAAAAAAAATCACAGCTTCATCAGAATGGTACGAAACTTGGTGACTTTTATGGCATTTGGAATGTGAGCACAAAAAAAATTGAGGCCATGATTCGAGCAGGCTAAGTGGTCGTAAAAAAAAAGTCACACTTGTGCTCTTCGGTCAAAAATGACTGACCATAGGAAATGAATGGGAAATCGACAAAAACTCAAATTCAGAGAATTTTTGTGTACAATCTACAAATCGGCCACGATGCAGAAAAAAAGTGCTCAGCAATGAAGGGGTGAAACTCTAAAACATCAAGAGTGCAAAACAGACACACCCACTCACACACACCAATGAATTGTGATCGAAAAATGTTCTGTTTTGAATTTTTTTTAATCACAGCTTCATTGGAATGTTACGAAACTTGGTGACTTTTATGGCATTCGAATGTGAACACACAAAAAATTTAGGCCATGATTCGAGCAGGCTAAGTGGTCGGAAAAAAAAATAGTCACACTTGTGCTCTTCGGTCAAAAATGACTGACCATAGGAAATGAAAGGGAAATCGACAAAAACACACAAATTCTCTACAAATCGGCCACGATGCAGAAAAAAAGTGCTCAGCAATGAAGGGGTGAAACTCTAAAACATCAATAGTGCTACATAGTGCAATAGGGCTATTACCATAAAGCATAATTGAGTCAGAAGACTGAAATAAGAGGTTGTAATGAGATCAGATCCAGATGGATTAAGCTGTGATAAGGCATTCCTGTTTATTTTTGTAAAAAAAAATTATTGAATTTTAATGTTAAGTGTATCTAAATGCTTTCTCTGTATTCAGGTTTGACTGTAGTAATAATAATGCAAAAACGTGTAAACTTCACATTAAAAAAAAAAAAATGTTAAAAAAATTATAAACCTTGACAAAGTATTATTTGAGAAGTTCTAAAAAAATACATTCAAATCCACATCTTAAAAGTAAGTAATTTTGTCCAAAAACTACTAGAGAATTCACAAGCCTCTCCATAGAGAGCTATACAGGCATCTAGTGGTAACACCATGAGATGACATGTTTTATTTGATTTTCTGGAGCTAATCTGACTTCAAAAATTGGATTTAAAATGCCTAGTCTCTATATTAATCTGAAATACTGCATTCATTGACTTTTTTTTTTTTTAAATAAACAATATTATTGAACAAAATTATATTGCATTGGTTTTACTGGGGTGAAGGAAGTTTCATTTTCATGTGTCCGGTCACTTCTGACCGTGAAGATATCAAGTGTGACTCCCAAATGAGGAGCACCAGAGGGTTAAACGAAAGGAGTTTGTCAGGTTATAAATTACAATTCAAAATTAAGTCAAATGTATTTAGGTTGTCCAACGTTATTGGAACATGTTTACCGTTAATGTGAAGAACTACACCTGTGTGAACTTGGAGAAAACTGACTTTATAACACTTCAGGGAAATTCACGCAAAATACTGTATCTGTCATAAGAATGGAAGTTACTGCAGTCGGGGAAGATTGAGGCAAAATCTCATTAGGTCTTTTTTTGCACATCAAGGGGTTTTTATTTCGAAAATGAGTTTCCATCTTAGTTTATGCGCATGTCTACTTATTGTAAAAAAAAATATCATCCACCTCAATTGAGCACATCGCCTACGTTTATTCATGGGATTTATGCGCATCTTGGCACTTCCATGTAGCGTTTTTTTATGCAATATCCCAAAATACACATAAAAATAGGTTGATAGAAACATAGCTAAAGTTAACTAATAATAAAGCTATTGATTAACATTGCATAAAAACCACCCTGAGGTCAGCTGTCCAATGAATTACATACATTTAAATGTGACTTAAAGGGTTAGTTCACCCAAAAATGAAAATTATGTCATGTCGTTCCAAGCCCGTAAGACCTTCGGAACACAGTTTAAGATATTTTAGATTTAGTCCGAGAGCTTTCTGTCCCTCCATTGAAAATGTATGTACGGTATACTGTCCTTGTCCAGAAAGGAAATAAAGACATCGTCAAAGTAGTCCATGTGACATCAGTGGGTTAGTTAGAATTTTTACACCAGACACACGTCAGCAGCGTCACTGCGGAATCGTAAACGCGGATTGACAACAGAACCGGAAGAGAATACAATGCTGAATAAAGTCGTAGTTTTTGTTATTTTTGGACCAAAATGTATTTTCGATGCTTCAAAAAATTCTAACTAACCCACTGATGTCACATGGACTACTTTGATGATGTCTTTATTTCCTTTCTGGACAAGGACAGTATACCGTACATACATTTTCAATGGAGGGACAGAAAGCTCTCGGACTAAATCTAAAATATCTTAAACTGTGTTCCGAAGATGAACGGAGGTCTTACGGGCTTGGGACGACATGAGGGTGAATCATTAATGACATCATTTTCATTTTGGGGTGAACTAACCCTTTAAGTGTTGGTGGGGTGGGTCACTGTTTGTAGCACTATGTACCTGCAGTCCACAACTGCATTACTGGGCTGGTGAAGAGGAACCCTCAACTCCTCCATCTTGGGTCCGTTAAGACACAGCTGCCCCCCCTCACAGCTCAAAGACACCAACACCAGACGAGGCTGCTGTCTGCCCGTCACCATGTGTCCATCCTCTGTGATGACCAGCCAGTGACTGCAACAAAACAAAATATGTGCTCAAAATGTTATGTCGCGAATTATGAGTGGTTTGAGAGGTGTCTGAACTTTGAACCCCTCCAAAGAAAAACAAAACGTGGGAAGACGACAAAATTAAGCATTTACATAAAATACAAGTAGGCTATTCATATTTTCACTGAGTTTTCAAAAGTTTTAGTACACAAAAAAGGTACAAAATAGACAAAAACATGGCAACAGCTCGAGCGCTTTCGTTAGCATCTGTATCAGACGGTAAATCATTAAAAGTCACTGATAGTTCGCACACTGACCCATATAACAGTACATTTAAACGCGTATGAAACAGACAGTCTATGCTTTCAAAGAAATTGCACGATTGGAAAGCAAAGCACACTTCTAACAAATACTCACCGATCCCGCAGTTCGCCATATTTCAGCCCCATTCGCAGACATTCTGCTGTCTCTACCGACACCACTTTCCCAGACTTCATCGGATGAACCAGCAGCTGAGTAACAACTCCAACTCGGGTTAACTTTTTCTCCTGACGCATATATTTATACACGACACCGAGTCCAAGTAGAGCAACAGTTGTGCCTGCAGCGCATAATGCGATTTGCCGATTCTGGTCAAAGACTTTCATAATCATCTCTTTGAAGTTCATCTTTATTTTCGGAAATTAAATCTGCCTGCGAAATTTGACGAGTCTGAAAGGTTTCTCAGCGCTCAGCACTGTGTTTTTATTGCAGCCAATGAAAAGGCGCGTTGCTACTGGGTTGTTTTAAAGGGACGGGTTCCTCGCTTTGAAGTCAACATGAAATCAGAAAACTTTCTTTTACGCGCTCTTATTGTGAAAGATTCATCAGCAGGTTATTTCAAAGTAAATGTTAGTCTTTTGTCAAAATATAATAACTTCACCATCTGAAACGACTTTTCTTGGCAGCTGTCGTCACCAATATCGCTTTAATTTTCAACCCTCTCACCCCAGACACCTGTCATTCAAATCATTTCAATCAATTAAATTTTTGTTTGTTTTTACAAAATGTTGGACAGATATATGACGTCACAGATTCTACCCCAAAAAAAGGTTAACTTGTATTGAACTTGTAACATATTCCTTATTAAACCGTTCACCGTATATACATCCTTTAGTTTTACTGACATTTGGCAAAATAAGGATCAATTTCACATGGACATGGACATTTTCTTTTTTATTATTATTCTAATCAGCAAAGAGTTATTTTTGCCCTGGTCCCTTTAGTAAGGACAGGATTAGAAACATAAATGTACACTCTGTCCTACCCTCATTGACCTGCTGGTCAAAAGATATTTTTTACCTTTCACATGAATATAGATGCCAAACCAGAAAAATATACACAAGAAAAAGCAACAGATGCCGCCACCATGGGTGGGGGCAATACAGGCATTTGTTGTAATGGCGTTCCTTCTGTCACTGTGTCATGCAGGTTTAATAGCTGAAGGCAAAGTCTTGGACACAAAGCGCTTTCTCCTTGGCAGGATGTGAAGATGGCACACACTCCTGTGTGAAGATGGCACACACTCCTGTGGGAGCCAAACATAGCCTGAGCAGCAAGTCCTCTCTGAGTCTTGGGGGATACACAGGACACGATGTCCAGATCAGATCAGTGGGATAACTGCTGTTTTTCCTACAGCTCTAGTTCAGACCAAGGTCATATTTATTCTTTATCTTCAAAGCTGACATTTATGTGTTAAACATCAAGAGTAGGCCTAATTAGATACCTCAGGTTCAAAAGTCGTATGCGCTTTCCGTGCCGAGATGTTGACTCTGATATCATTCTTACATTGACAACTCAGTCCTCGTTTTTGAGCAGCCGATCTGAATATTATTTTATGACTCCACGTGACCTCCATCAGGTTAATATGTTTAGGAGGTTGAGGGAGTCATGTTGGTATGCCATCTGGATCAACAAAAACCTGATAGGTGTTTCATTTTGCTGGTTACACTGAAGTCTACAGCGTATTACAGGGGACTCATTACAATAATGGAGTCTAATAATAATATCCTTTATCAGATCGCAGTTAATAAAGAGTGTCAGATGTAGTTCTCAACAATACAAAAACTATCAATGCAACATGGTTGTGCAAATTGCAGAATTATGTAATTGGCTGCCTTTTAAAGAGTTTAAATTGAATTGGCAACACCCCACAGGAAGTTGAACGGATAGGAAGGAGAATTTATTGAAAGAATTTCAATGCAGATCATGCATTCAACGGAGCCCCCAAAGGAACATGGTGATGGGAAAAATATGAGAAGGGAGAAAAAAAGTTTCCTTAACTTTTATAATAGCAAAACTTTTAAGATGCCCCGAGACACTTTGCTTTGTTTCTCAAAAGTATTGCTTTCCCCTGAAAAATTCAGCGTTCACTCACAAAAACATTAAAATGGTGTTTTTCATACAGTGTCATAATTTTTTGTGAGAAAATGCAAATGTATTGCAATATAATTTTTTTCTCCCATTTCATATTTTTCAATCACCATTATGACATATATAGATATTACTTCAAACATAAATGACATTTCATCTATCTATCTATCTATCTATCTATCTATCTATCTATCTAAATTCAACTCAAATTCTGGAACTGAATTGGAATTTAAAAGGCATTCTCAGTTCAATTCTGAATGGCAAACAACACTGCAATGCAAAGCCAAAAATGGCAGAGATTTATGAAAACTCTAATACCATAAGCATTTCATCTGAACAGGGTAAAATAGCATTCCAGATGGGAAGTTTTTTGGTTAGAATATGTTTTTAGTAACTGTTAAAACATTGTCTATTGCACCATTTCAGGGTGTAAATGAGCTATTTGAAGTAGAAGACCGTTTGAATTCTCCTAACAGTCATCAAAGCGTTGTTGGTGTAAAAATAAGTTTTCATCAGTCCACCTCGAGCTTGGGTGGTCCGTTCAAGCATCTTTATGTGATATATAATGCTATCAAAATAATTCATGTGACTCATTAAAGATCTACAGTGACTGTATAAGGAAGTGAGGTGATTCAGACAGAGCTGCGTCTCTTGGAGAAGAGCCTGAACGGTGAGATGTTTCTCAGGTCAGCAGACACAGTGCTAATGGCCGAGCAGCGTTGAGGGTTACACACGCAGCCCGTTGGGCCGGGTTCGAAAAAGTGGTGGGGCGACATGTCTCCTTGCTCCATTAGCGCATCAGTAAAGGACATATCCTGCGGGAGGATCACCATTTTCTCTCGGCTTTTGTACCACAGGCAGGAGCACACCGTCTGGAAGTGAAGCACCTCAGCATAGACGCTCTTCAGCCCTCGTCTTTTGTCTCGTCCCGCGGCGGCTGGGCTCGGAGGGTCCGGACGCCGCAGAACCGAACCTATCGGTTGATCTTTGGAGAGCAGCGCCCTCTGCGCCGCGTCTCTTCTCTCGTCCTCGGTGTTCATCGTCATGAACCGTAGCACCACTAGATTGAGGAAAGCACCAATTACTGTGAGGCCCATCAGGATATAGACAAAACTAAAGGCCACGTAATGAGGGTCGTTTTGGAGAGCGTTGTCCTTCTGCAGGGCTACGTAGTCCCCGAAACCGATGGTGGTGAGGGTGATGAAGCAGAAGTAGAAGGCATGGAAAAAGGTCCAACCTTCATAGTGGGAGAAGGCCGCTGCTCCTACGCACAAGGTGCTGACGCAGGAGAAGAAGCCGATGATCACCATGTTGGCCATGGAGACTTCCGGCCTCCGCAGGCCCATGCATTTCTTGGCTTTGTGCAACAGGAACCGGACGAAGGTGTTGATGCGTTCGCCCAGGCTCTGGAACATCACCAGGGTGAGGGGGATGCCCAGAAGCGCATACCCCATGCAGAACGCTTTCCCAGCATCCGTACTGGGGGCGGCATGGCCATAACCTTGAGAAGGAGAGCAGGACAAGATACGTGATTTAAAGAATCAACATTTTCAAGGAAGACTTGATGTTGTATGTTTAGATGTTTGTAGACCTACAGATCCTGCATAATCCATTGGAATGGACATCACATGATTTGTGGTTTGAACCAATAAAATGTTATGTTTTTATAATATGGGTAATGTCTGGTCACTGATTGGTTCCTGATCAACCAATCACAATGAATATGTGACCCCTTGCTTAGTCTGGAATACATTTCCCGCTCAACAACACAACTCAATGCTTAAAGGGATAGTACAGCCAAAAATGAAAATTCTGTCATTAATTACTCATGTCGTTCCAAACCCGTAAGACTTTAGTTCATCTTCGGAACACAAATTAAGATCTTTTTGATTAAATCTGAGGGCTTTCTGTCCCTCCGTTGACAGCTACCACTTTGACGCTTAAGAAACGTCATGAAGAGATCGTTAAACTAATCCATATGAATTGAGTGGTTTAGTGCAAATTTACAACCAAGACAATAAAGATATAGATTACACAGCATGTTAGCTTGCTTATTTTGCTAAAAAGCATGATCTTTGCATGATCAGCTGAATCCACATGTCATGGTAACAAAAAACTATGCTTCTAACCACAGGTCGAGAGCTGTAGTTCCAACCACACACCTTTGAGATGTCATTTGTGAATGTTCGTTGGAACTATGGTTTCAGGAAACACAGAATCAGTGAACTTGGTAATGACGAAACTTGCGATCACGGTTGGCTAATGATGCTTTTGACCATTGAGCTTCAAGCATCACAATAAAGATAAAGATATAGTTCTAAAAAAAATCGAAATATAAAAGAATAGCAGAGTTCACACCACAACTATAACGGCATAGAGAAACAATATCATTTACATCAATTTCAGAACGTTTTTTTTGTTTTTTTTTGCAGCTGATGAACTATAAAATCATTGACAGCCAATCAGAATCCATCCTGCTTTCAGAGCTCCAGCATTTAAAGCTGCAGACAACACGCTGGTGTGGACACTAATATGGTTAATGTTATAGTTATCTTTATAGTTATCGTTCTTGGTCTGAACGGGCCTTAAGCCGCTTTTTTACCTTTTATATGGTAATTTATGTTAACGGTAGTGTCATCAACTTGCACCCCTTATAATCCTGATAGTATCAACAAGTGATAATATTCAAAGTTAATTTAAAGATCTTTCAGTTGTAGAACATAAGTTAGTCAAGACCATGAGAATGTCAATAGGTCTTTGGTTCCACTGAGTGTGAGATTTACTGGCTTAATTCAGCCTTGCAGAGAACAACATAAGTGTTCTTTGGTTGTCTATGTCAGCTAAACAACCTCTTAAACAGTCTGAATAATTTATAGAGGTAAACAGGCCAGTCAATATCTTCACTGTTTGTAACTGGCCAGAGTAATCAGACTGTTCATCAGACGCACACCCCCCACATTTATTTGTACTGGATGTTCTTTAACTTTCTGTAAATATTATTACTGACGTTCATTGCACTTAGCCATCGCAATGTTATGATGATGCTGTAAACTCCCCAATGAGGGCAGACTAATATGGCATTAGCCTGGAGATTTTTGAAGCTCTGCACATAGCTCTCGGTATTGGGATACCAAAAAGATTCACGAATCAAGTTTTCAACAAGCAAATTAGGACAATGAAGTTAAAATGAATGAAGAATTTAACATTTCACAATATCTGTTCTTTTTTTTTTTTTTTTGGACGAAGGCTGATTTTGTACCTATAAATAAAAAATATATACTGAAATAAACCGCAAGTTCTGCTGAGAATGACTATACTTTTTTATGTGCATGAATAAATAATGACCATAATTCCAAAACTAACTTAATGTTAAATGATTTATGTAAATATCTTCATCTGACCTTATCCAAACCCTACAGTCCATGTGAATCAATCCCTATAACCTAAGAAAAACCGACATGGTATAACCCACAAATGGTAACATCTAAATTAACTGATTATATTCAAGAAAAAAATTAATTACATTTGTCATGAAGGATGTTTGAAGATATAAAAGTATGATTATTTGTACAGTACAGTACAGTATCACTTCAAATAAGCATAGCAAAAGCCATTTTTAATCTGAAACTAAAAAGCTATTAGTCTTTCAAACAAAACATGAGGGTTAAAGAGAAATAAATAAACCTCAAGGCCTATACTATTTAGCTTTATTATCGTTCAACAGGCAATGCAACGTGTCTTCAGCTAGTGAAAACGCAGAGAGAAAACTCACATACATTAGCATTTTGTAGGGTGCTCTTCCAAAAATAACCCATGACCATTTTTGAACTAATCCACCGGAAGCAATGACGAAATCACCATGAACTGTAACACGGGATTAAGCACTTCAGTGATGACTGCATTGAGTCTAATTTCAATATATGTGTTAACTAAGCAATTTTAACGAGCATATTTCACGAAGATTGAATTTAGCTGAATTTCGGCAATATGTTTATTTCAGAGAAGCACACAGTAAAATGTTGATTCTGTCAGCTGCAGTTGCCAGAACTTTCCCGTTAAAAATACAGTTTACAGGATGGCATTTTGGTGATTGTATATTTTAAAGTCCATATAGCTAGCCTATATGATTACATTAGCTTACCTAAAATTATTACTCTTATTTGAGAAAATATGTTCAATGGAAAACCCAAACAATGACTTTAAGTCCATCGAAACTGCATGTCCTCAAAATAAAACAGGAACACAAACCACAAATGCTATAAGCAACTAAATAACCAAATTAGATTTTTAGTGGAGGGAAATGCCCCTTTTCATACTTAAGGCGATTCATAATTTTCACTAATAGGCTAAACCATTTTTGGAAAATTAAATATTTGGTTTTGCATAATCGTATAAAAAGTGCAAAAGATTTTAAAGTTGAATGGCATATAGTTAGGAAACACATAATTCGACTAGAATGACTTTCTTAACAAATTAAGTTAATCAGTTAGAACTGAATATTTTTTTTACCTATGGTCGTTATCACAGTGATGGCAAAATAAAAAGACCCGGCGAACCTCCACTGGACTCCGGCTTTGTGAGGCTTCAGAAGCAACACGACCTTTTCAATCTGATCAAAGTCAAGCCTGGTGAGATTATATTTATACATGAGTAGAAATTTTCGATAGTCGAGCTTGCCCTTCTGGGTTTTCTCTTGCTTTGACTCGAGAGCATCGAAGACTCCCGCTCCAATGAGTAAATAGGACAAAGTGCAGATAATTAAGGCGAGTGTCCGCAGGTTTTGCCTCTTCATCTTCTCATAGTCGCTCCAACATATCCCTCAGTTTTCAAAGCTCCGGTCCAGGCATGGGAACTTTCCTGATTCATGGCTTGTCATAACTCCCTTGCACCCCTTGGCAGCAATAACCCAACTGAGGGTCTCCTGAAAAAGTGGCCAGTGGCCACAGGGGACCGCTATTAAAAGAAGTCGTGTTTAGTGGGAGCTGTTCTTTCAGCACCACCCCCAGGGACTCATAGGCTACACACACTCCTTATATGGTCATTTGTTCCCTTCAGTTACAGTATGAAGGAAGGTTTGTGCGTTATCGATCATATTACATTGTAATTCTTAAAGGGGCTATATGTAAGAATTTAGACAGTGTCCTTTTTACATATGTTACATGTACTTACCATAATAATAACAGTAAATTATGCATAGCCTAATTACATGCAACTAACCAAATCCTACCCTAACCCTATAGCAAGTACATTTAGTTGCTTAATAGTAAATATATAATTACACTGTCTGTATATGACACCTTAAAATAAAGTGTAACCAGAATTTTCATGTAATCGATTTTTGTATTTCCAGTGTGTGAACAGCTTGTAAGGAGACTTAAAAAACGAGACCTTCCCCGACTTCCTAGTTTATAAAACCCTGTAGACGGATATTTCTGAGAAGCACTCGGGCCGGTTTTGCCGGGAAAATCCAAAGGATGTGGCGTTAACTCGCGCTCCCGAGAGCCTCTCTTCCGCTCTATGACACCTGAATGCTAGATTACACAATGTTCAGGAGGATACTGTACTGTAATGTTAAGGTGTCGTGTCATCCAAAGAAAAGGGATTAATTCAAACTATAGTCTCACATAATCAGATCTATAGTACTGTATATCTCAAACATCATTTATATTAAAATCATAACAGAGTAATTATTTTAATTTACAGAGATTTTTTACATTAACAGAGTAATTAATTACCTCACCTTTGTTTAGACTTGATGGCAATGAATTTCAGAGCTTGTGCAAACATTATCCACATGATCAGATGCTTTCTTAACTACGGTTTTCTCGCCGCTGTCATTTTTGTGTCTAGATGTTCGCTAACAATAGGCTTTATCGCTGCAAATGTATTTCCAACTTATTGTTATTTGTAAGCAAAGTGAGTATCGGAGCATTGAATCAAGTTCAGTCTGCATATTACCTGACCGAGTGCAAGCACGAGCAATAAGTTACTTGCTGCAGTTCACATAACAGCCACCGGTGTCGCTAATAACAAGGGTTTTTAAATTCGACATAGCCCCTTTAAGTAATTACTAAGTGTCACTTTTAGGAGCTTTTTGGATTACTAATGTGATAACATGATGTGCAATATAGAAAATGTAATGTAAAGTGTCGCCCTTTACTTTACATGAAAAAATTAAATAAAAATAGTTTCTTTTAAAAAACAAAACAAGCTTTAAACCTGGGAACCTTTTCTGCATTTAACCTCCCTTGCGTATTTGAAAGAGTTTGCTTATGCTTTATTAATGGCAATAATATATAATATAATAGTCACAGCATTCAGCACATACAGATTCCTGAATTTAGAAAGTGTATCTAATAATCACTGACATTAGTAATTATCTCCAATAAAAAAAAAAGAAATGTTCATAAACCGATGTGTTTGCTTTTTCAAGAAAAGAAAAAAAAACTAAATAAACTGTTCCTACTTTCAGTGAAAATCATTGTAGTATGGAAGATTTTTATAGGAGGTTTTCAGGGAACTAAACCAGTGTAGGTAATGATCGCTGAAACGGTTTACAATGGAACACAGTAATCCAGACCCCTTGCATGTTCGCTGACCCTTTGCATATTTCAACAAATGGTTTCCAGGCTTCATAAATTGTTGTCTAGCAACATAATTAACGCTCTAGTCCTTGAGTAAATATCAGTGGTCCTTTGTGGGTTCAAGCAGGCGCACCCTTTGCATAACAATTTGCCTTTAACAGCCTCTCTGCGCATCAGTGCAAAATAAACTGTAGTTCTTTTAACGGTCACAGCATAAGGACATCTGGTTAAACAGACAATGCAAACCTTTCAGCTATTCTGAACAATTCCGCTATCCAGACATTGTGCTGTCTTTGTCAAAAAAAAACGTACATTTTTTTTCTTAAATTTTTTTTTGCCACAGACCTTCGCCAAAACATGTGAAAAACATGTTTAACCAAGCATTTTTCGTCCCACAGTAACTCGACAGAAGAAGTCATTCAAATCAATTTCATATTTTTATTTCAAAATATTGCATAGAAAATCTAATTTACTATGCGGCATTTAATTAATCAAAAATCTGTTAAAAACATTGACTTGTTTGTTATGGCCACTATTTGATCTCATCCATGTTTTAGATAATTATCTACAATCCTCATACCATATCTACGCTTTTTTTTATTTTTTTTTATTTGTTCTTTTCAAACATAAAAACTCCTTTTCGTGAGGAAGTGATGTGTTTCATGACACATAAAGATCTTAAGTTAGCCACATTAAAAAGGTTCCCATAAAAGATGACATGATTTCTCAAGACAAAGCCTTTGGCACAATTAGCATAAATAGGATCTCAAGAGTGTTCTCAAGGCAAACTTTAAAACATCATTTTAATGCCTTGAATGAGCATGTTGTCCATATTTGTCAAAAAAAAGTTACTGTACTGGTGTGTACAGTAGTGTGTAGTGTGTAAATAACCCAGTCATTTTAAATGGCAAATACAAAGTGAGACCATTTATGATTAGATAAATTCAGCAACACATGAGCAGAGCGCTGCTGGTGCTCGAGGTTTACTGGAGAATTGATCAGCCATTACAAGGCTTCAAACTCATCTATTCTCTGCTTGGTGTTGCCCATGCGGATCTGACGAAGCGTCTTGTACTTGTCCCTCCCGGCTATTACGTTTTCATTGTGCAGAATGTCGTTCTGAGTCTTCATAGAGTTATCGCGGGCCTCGGCCAGCTCAGAGCTCAGGGCCTAAAAACAATTTAAGATACAGTTAATCACAGTGTAAATACCAAATAATGACAATTGAAATAGAATATTTGGATTCATAGCAGTGGCGTATGGTACGTAGTACTGAACTGAAATTGGTGATTTGAGATCAGTGCAACTGAACGAAACATGTTGTTCGCGAATGAACCGAATAAACGTGCCATGTTGTTCATATAAAACTGTATGAATGAAACATATCTTTTATGAACAGCCTAAAATATATACAATAATAAGGCTTGTAATTGTAAACAAATTGTAAATCAATGTACTGTAGTGTTTTTAGCGGAATCTGTTGTATCAATAATACTCAAAAAACACTCACCTAGTAGTGTAATGATGTAAACCACAGATTCAACAGATTTGAATCACTGAATGAATCAAATTCCCCACTACAAGTCAGTGTTACGGAAGTATATAGAATGTAGTATGTGAACAAACTGAAAAAAGGATGATAAGACTTTCATGTTTCATTCATGAACAAAGAATTTCCTGAACGAATGATAGTCAAATTATTTTGATTGAATCAAAATCCCAACTACAAGTAAGTGTTATGTTTGTATATGTATTTAAATAAACTGAAAAAACAATGTACTGCAACAATGTAACCTTCAGATATGGATACTTAACAAACCAGTGGATGAATCTGGATCTGTTTTAGGAGTTCAAAAGATTCAATAAATCACTGAGATCAATCAAAATCCCAACTACAAGTAAGTGTTATATGTAGATATGTATTTGAACAAACTGGAAAAAAAAGGATAATACGGCTTGTTTCATTTGTGAACAACTCTGTGTTTTTGAACAAATCTCCTGAACAAATGATAAAATGACTCCTAATGCTCACTCACTCACTCAATAAATAAATCACTGGTCACCATGTACTGGTATAATAACGTAACATCCAGATATAGATACTGAACAGGCCAGTGGATGAATCTGGATCTGTTTTTAGGTGTTCAAAAGATTCACTAAATCACTGAGATCAATCAAAAACACAACTACAAGTAAGTTGTATGTGTGTTTGTGAACAAACTGAGAAAAGTATAATAAGGCAAGTTTCATTTGTGAACAACTTTGTGTTTTTGAACAAATCTCCTGAACGAATGACAAAAAGTCCAGAACCTCCAGAAACAGTTACTAAACAAATCAATGAGGAATCAGGATCTGTTTTAAGGTGTTTTTCAGAATCAGAATTTGATCACAATTCTTGCTACTAATGCATACATAATCATGTCTGAGGAAAGGTGATACGCATGTTACCATGAGCTGTTTCTGCACACGTTCGTTCTTCTCCGCCTCTGTGATGCGCTCCTCCTCATTGCGGTGGTCCTCTATGCCCTCCACAGGCAACTCAGCACTGTAGGTGCTGTTGTTCTCCTCGTGATCATCATGATCGTTCTCCAAGGGCTCCTCCATCATGGCCCGGGCAGCCATAGGGGCGGCCATGGGGGCAGCAGCCACAGGGGACGACATAACATGCTGCAACTCCTCACGGGTCTTTTCCAGATCACCCTGAACCTCATTAGCCTGAGAAAAGTGGAGGGGTCAGTTTTAAGGAGAAGAATTTAACCATATTTTAACAATTTAGGGCTGGATACCGAACGATATGAAACATTATATCGTGATCAGTGTTGTGCCTGAACGCGTTCAATGAACTCGTTCACGTTTGGGCGAACGTGAACTGAACGTACTGAATTACTGCCTGATGAACGTTACTGTGAACGCGTTCATTCTGGTGTCTGTGAACGCGCGCTCTCTCAGTTTAACTTCGTTCAATAGGGTGCCAGATTTCTAGAGCCTTAAGCCGGCTAAAACACGCGAAAAAAACACCCAATCTGGCAACTACAGCCAGCAGTGTCGCACCGCCGCATGCGTCATCAAAACAAGAAGCAGCATGTAGTCGACAAAGCAGCGAGCGAGGAGGCGTCGTATGATGATTTAAACGAGTTTTATGACAAGGTCGGTGAGGATGGGAAAAATCTTACATTACTGTGCAAACTTTGCCCGTCGATAAAATAATTGCTGTCTGTGGTTGTATGGGCTGTGGCAATAATTTTTTTTTTTTTTTTAAAGCTCGCAGCAACATATGGAAAAAAAGAACTATGAACTAGTTCATTTTTTTGAAGTATGAACTATGAACTGAACTAGTTCATTTTACAATTTGTGAACTGAACTTTGAACTAGTTCATGTAGAAAATGAACTTTCCCAACACTGATCGTGATACATGTTTTATCTATATCGCA